TTGGAGAAGCTCCCGGGAATTGTGGCTAAGTGTGCCGAGATCTACCGGAGCAGACACCCAGCACAGCGAGAGCCACCGAGGACGAGACCGACCGCAGCAACCAGAGCACCAGCCAAGGCGAGCAGTCCAGCTGATGCTGGACGGGAAGGCGCACCGCGAAGCGCCGCCGAGACCGGGATCACAGCCGAAGCCGTGCTGAACGCCGGGAAGCACAAAGGAAAGACCTTTGGCTATGTCTACGAAGAGTTCCCGGACTATGTGGCTTGGATCCTGAGCCAGGGCGGCAACATCCAGGCCGCCTCGCTTCAGAACTTCGAGCGTTACATCCGAGCACGGCAGCGACGAGAACATCAAGAACGACAAGCCTACATGGTTATGGTTCCCGGGCCTCCGTGCGAAAGCTCCCTGGTTGCTGTCCTTGACACCGGGTGCAACCAGACCTGTCATGGAGCCCTATGGTACCGGGACTATTGCCGAGCCTCAGACCAAGCTTTGGAGCCCCTCACCTCTCCGACTTCGGCGGCCAGTCTCAATGGCATTGGGGGGCGAGTCAAGGCCCTGGGGAAGCGCGCCTTGAGCATTGCGATTCAGTTGGCCGATGGCTCTTTGGCGACGGGAACCGTGCAGAGCACCGAGCTTGAGGACTCCAGCGCGCCACTTCTTTTGAGTTATGGTGCGCAGCGGCAGCTAGGTTTTGTGCTGGATGCCGACGCCGGCACTGTTTACAGCAAGGCGTTTGAACAGCACGTCGACCTTGTCGATCGCGACGGGCTCCCTGCTCTTCGGCTGCTTCCGCTTCTTCCTCAGGAGAAGCCGGAGCACTTTGCCATGTCCGCCGAGGCGGTCCTGGCCGACGAGCACGACCTTGAGGAGGAGGACCACCCGATGCAAGCGGACGAGGGCGACCACTGGCAACAGCAGGGCCTGGATGAGAGTGCACATCAAGCCCCGGGTCACCCTTTATGATCCGAGGCAGGAGCCCAGCAGCGACCCGGAGATTGAAGCCGAGGTGTTGCACCTGCCTTTTCGCAGGACCGTCGCCATCAACAGCCACACTGGAGAGAGGGTCGAGTCCCAGGGACCCTGGCTTCGAGAAGGTGATGCTTTGGGAGCCGGGGCGGGCAAGGACGATGAAACCTGGACTGGCTATACTCTCTTCTTCCGCGACGCCGCCCAGAGTGAGCAGGAAAAACAGGCCGAGGAGCAGATCATGCTGGACACCGGGCGGGTCTTTGCCGCTTTCGACGAGGAGAAGCCCACCGTTCTTACCAAAGGACAACGGCGACACCTTCAAGATGGAAGCGACGGCCTGCAGCGGCACGACGCCACGCTCTGGGCCCAACTTGATCCACGACCACCTCAAAAGGCCCGAGCATGCCAACGACTACTGCCAAAAGGGTGTCGCACGCTTCTTCTTGAGCTCTTCGGCGGAGCGGCGGCTCTTACTGCCATGGCTGCTTCTTTTGGCGTGCCTCACGGGACACCTCTTGACCTCATGAACCACGAGCTCCTGAGCACAGCCGGGCGGAAGCAGCTTTGGAACCGCATAGAGGCAGAGGACCCCTACTTGCTAGCCGTCACCTCTGTCAAGGCGCCTTGGGCTGGCTGGTCCGACTCAGACCTGCAGCAGGACAGTCCCAAGAACCACCGGACCACAGCCGAGCGCCGAGTCTGGTACCCCGTCGTCGGCTGGATCATGAATTTGGTTGAAGACCGACTTCGCCGAGGACGGGAGGTGATCGTTGAAGCTCCCTGGGAGAGCTTGTTTTGGCAGCTTCGGTGCACCGAGAGGACTGTAGGTACTGTTCAGCAGGCCACCCAGGAGCCGCTTGAGGCTGTCTACTGTGACTTCTGCGCCTATGGTGGCCACGACCTACGCTCCGGACTTCCTGTTCTCCGGCCCACCGGGCTGCTTACTTCGTCCAAGGCTGTAAAAGAACGGGTGCCCAACGCATGTGACGGGCATCATTGGCACCATTCAGGAGCCGCTCAGCTACCGGCACAGTGGCCCGACGACCTGGCCAAGGAAGTTCTGAACGCCGTTCTTTGCGAGCTCCAGGAACTTAACTGTTCTGTTGTGTTTGCAGCCGAAGAAGAAGTCGAGGAGCTGGAGGAGTTCGGCTTGATGGATGGAATCTTGGGCAATGAGGATTTAGCAGAGCAGCTGCCACCACCCGTCGATTCTCATGAGCTTGGCCGGGAAGAAGAACTTGAAGAACTACCACCTCCACAGGCCCAGGCCGAGATCGAGCGAGAACGGAAGCGAAAATGGCTGGCCATTCCCCGCAACAAGAGGCTGGCGATCAGGAGGCTGCACCATATGACGGGCCACGCCTCTACCTCTGCTATGGTTCGTATGCTGCGCTCTGCGGGAACTTCGGCCGAGGTTGTGGCAGCCTGCCGGCACTTTCGTTGCCAGGCCTGCTCCGAACGACAACGACCACCACAGCCCTCTACAACCACCACGGCACCACCTTACCGCTTCAACCACCAGGTGATCTGTGACGCGTTTGAGGTGGTTGATGCCAGTGGCCAGAAGCACACCATTTTGAGCCTGGTGGACAGTGGGACGAAGTTCCACGTTGCGGGACGTGTTGCCTCTGGCGGCACCCCTTCCTCGAAGAGCTGTGCCGAGTTTATCAACCTCCGGCTGTCTTCCAGGTGGACCAGGGTGTTCACAACAAAGGACAAGTGGCCTCGCTCATGCGGGCGCATGGTGTGGAGATCCGGCAAGCTGGCCGGCAAGCACCATGGCAAATTGGCCGTGGTGAAAGGCATGGTGGCATCTTGAAGGCCATGGTGAAGCGGCTGGTCACGGCTCACCAGCTTGCAGGTGATTTCGCTATTGCGGCGGCCGTCACCCAAAGCGCTGCCGTCAAGAACGGGATGTACAACCATGATGGGTATGTACCTTCTCAGTGGGTCCTGGGGCGGCTGCCCCACGATGTCACCTCTCTTCTTGGCGAAAATGAGACGGAGCATTTGGGACCCCAGCAAGAGGCCTTGGACCCCGAGACCATCTATGGCAAGACGATGCAGATACGACAGTGGGCCAAGGAGTGCTTCATCTACCTGGACAGCAGCCAGCGCATTCGCCGTGCCATGCTCCGACAGGCTCACCCTGTGAGAGGGCCGTACCAGACAGGAGACCTGGTTTCCTACCACCGGCGAGGGCGTTGGTATGGGCCAGCTAGGGTCCTATCACATGAAGGCAAGAGCTCCTTGTGGTTGGTGCACGGTGGCATGACACTACTGGTGGCCGAGACCACCATACGCCCGGCCACGACGGAGGAGATCCAAAGGAAACAGGCACTGACTATGTGGCCGAGTTGGGTGCGGAGGTCAGCTAAGCGCAAATATGAGGACCTCCTTCTTGGCGAAGAAGAGGACCTGCCCTTCGAGGAGGAGACCGCGGACTTTGACGGCGCCACGCAGGTTCCTTACTTTGACTTCGCGCAACCTCCGCCCACAGAACAACAACAACAAGCTACAGGTGAGAACACCGGAGCCACGGATGATGTGACACAGGGACCGGCACCGGACCGACAGGTGACTCAGCCTGAGCAGGAGCCGGTGGAGGACACGAGGCCTACAGCAACGACGGCACCACCAACGGAAAATCC